AAGACTACTCATGAGACACATACGGCGAGCATTGCTCACAGCGTTGGCTCATAGTTTTGGCCTCACATACGCTGCTGCTAGAACTCGCACCACTCGAAATGACTAGTTTGCCAATGCTGCCAATATGACTCCCCTATGCATATGTCGCTTTTTGCTCCTACTACGACTCTTGCTCTGATTTATCCCATGTGGCCTTCTTCTTCTCCTCTGCTCTATTACTGCGTATCAGTGCGGTTACAGTCACTCCTCCCAAATGTTCCTACCTTGTCTTTGCGACCTCAAGACATTAGTAATTCGAATAAGGTTTTGGAGGCCCATTCTACTACAATTATAATACATCAGGAACCCCCCAAAAATAGTGTAGGTAATTATTTGGGCCCCTACAGTAGGTCCACAGCAGCCGAGCCACGAAAAGGCAGAGGAACCAGTTCATGAAAATCGGAGCCGCGTCGATGCCGTTCCTGCTCAGGGCTTACGCAGCCGGGGTCCGGTCCCTGAACTTCGGGTTTTGAGGATTTTGGGTTCAGGGGTCAGGGTTAAGGTTTCTATATATATATATATATACGTATATATACATATACATATATATATATAGAGAGAGAGAGAGGATTTAGGGTTTAGGGGTTTAGGGTTTGGTATCTATAGGCCACTAGCAGTCCTGGTGCTACTATTACCGTATAATGCTAGTCACATTGGATGACGAGAGCAACGACAGCACTGAACAGGGATGGTAATACTGCTGCCGGCTGCTGATCCTGCAAAAGTGCTGGTAGAGCTGCGGCAAGTATTGCTCGATACACCAATTGAAAACGTGTAGATCCTGAGCTCCGTCCGTGCTTCAACGGCGATGGAATTCGCGAAACAACACTTCGATCCTGCACTCCAGCAACTCAGATCCGTGCAGAGCGCAACCCGCGAAGGTCTTCGGTGTAGTATCCGACAGGCATGATCTCTTCAATCACACTGCACAGCATCCAAAATGCATGCTCTTCGCAGCAGTACCTAAGGACCGCTCTCACACTACACAGCTGCCGTTCAGAAGTTGGACTTGGATCTACAGAAACTGCGAACATCTTGATCTCGGTTCTGCCAGCAGTGCAGCCTTGATACAGCAGAAAGGTAGCAACGATAAAGTTCATAGACTGGCAGTACCCGATGACTGGATTCCGCACCTCAACTCATGACATGGAGGCAGCTGCCTTGATCTTACCAGCTGTCTTACTAACGCATCCTTCCTGCTACATGCACTCCTCCAAGCGATGTTCCGGCATCGATTGATCAAAAAAAAGACTGCGCCCTTTCGATCTGGCAGGCAGCTGCATATGCCAGGAGCACATTCTCCAAGGGCGAGATCAGATTCTCCTCGCACCCGGTTCGCGGAAGGTCGTTGGCAATCGTTCGCGCAGCCACCGTGTTCTTTGCACAGTGGCCCTCCCGCACCTCAGTGCACGGCAAAAGCAACAAACATGCCCAGCAGAATCAGAATCACGTCACGGCAGGTTCAGCCAAACAGCAACAAGAAACTTACACAGAAATGTTGCGGCTCTGAGCAGAAGCAGTGAGTCGTCGCCGCCGCCATCATAGTAGTAGCAGATGAAGGAGCAGCAACAGCAGTAGCAGTGGCAGTGGCAGTGCCAGTTCCAGTGGCAGGGGCAGTGGCAGTACCAGTAGCAGTATCAGTAACAGGAGCAGTAGCAGGAGCAGCAGGAGCAGTAGCAGCAGTCGTCGTCGTGGTAGTCGCAGTAGCAGTAGCAGCACTAGTGGTCGTCGTGGTGGTGGTGGGAGGTGAGCTTTCGTGCTTGCGAAGCCGCCAGGTCCTCGTAAGATTTTGAACTCTGCCGCCTCTTGCTCAGACCACCGCTGCACAAAAACCTGACAGGCGGTGGCTGTGCTGCCGAATTGCAGAGTCAACCGAAGCGTGGTGTATGCAACAGCAAGATCACCCGGCTCCCGCCAAGCTAAGCTTTTCAACGCAGCCCAATGTTGAACGACGTTAATTATCAGCTTCAGTATTTCGAGTTTCTCTCCATATCCAGTCAGAGGAGCCAGACTGTGCCACGCAAAGTGGACGGAATGCCGCTGCGAATGGCCGTTGTCAGACCTTACTTCGCTGAAGCAGCCCTTACTCAGCTTGCATGCCTTTCCTTGCATAAACAAGTCCAGCAAAGGCTGAAACGGTCTCGCGTCGTTTGCCTGCATGGAGGGACAGGCAAAGCAGCACAAACAGAGTCTCTTCCGAACGCTTGCGCGCGCGAGCGCAGGCTGCACATGTCACAACTCGCTGGCCTGACCAAGTCCTCTCCAGCCCGGCTGCACTTCTAGAAAGCTGCCGCGAACCCGGGTCCTGCCTGGAGAAGAACATGGTCTTCAGGCGGTACTTGATCCCGTGGTGCTCTCCATCAGCAGTCCGACGCCAGCGCTCGAAGGCCTCCAGGACATCATCCTGCACCTTGTCCTGAGGAGCGACTCAGGGGCATTGAGAGTGATGAGAATCAGGGCCATAGGAACGAGGCTCCTAGTGCTCCTATGGCTCGTGGCAGTGTGACAGAGGTAAGAACGGGTTAAAAGGATGCTCATATCATGTTGCTCTTGTCAGTATGACATTGGTAAAAGAACCAGTCAAGCAGTACTCCAAAACGTTTAGAGAGCGAGGGTGGGTGCGTGACCGGCTTCTGGTGGCTCGGATTCGCATGCAGCCCTTGTTCTTCCGCTCACTGACTAGTCGATGTGCAGCTGTTGCTGCAAACTCTTTCTGCCTGTAGGTTTGATAGCCTCCAAGACATGTAAAGCTGGAATGGCGAAGGCACAAGCCATGCCTTCTGCAAGTCAGGTCTGTGACTGTTTCAGGGTGTTGTGCTTTAGGGACTTGTAACTTGGGGTGTAACTAGGGCTTCCGGCCTAGATTTAGTTCTGCAGCTCAGGAGCCAAGGAAGCACTGCTGTCGATGCCCAGGCCTAGCACAGAGCTCCCGTCACGCACAGTGCACCCGAAACTCTAGACGGGACTGACTGTCTCAAACCCTCCCGGCCCCTCCCCAAACCCCAAGCCCAAAATCCTAAAGCCCGATCGAACCCAAAGCCACCACCTACGATGGAATTCAAAGACCCTCAACCTCCAAAACCCGAAAGCCTGAACCCTCGAAAGCCCTCGGCCTACATGCCCGGGTCTTGGTTTCGCTTGGCGCCCCCCGAGCTCCAAGCTCTGAACAATATGCATCTCAATGAATGTCGTGATGGTGATGAGGACTACTGCGGCTTAGCGTCGAGAATTGAGGACTTAAGGGTTCAATTGGTGGTACGACCACACGAGTGATCATGAGGAGGAGGAGGAGGAGGAGGAGGCCCATATGATCCTCATGTGTACGTTTGTCGTTTACCCCTCGTGAAGTTCATGCTGCCGGTAGCACAAAACGGGCATTAGGATGCTCAAACATGACCGCTCGAAGTACGACTGGCACTGGCCTCTGTGCTGGTTACTGATGATGCCTAAAGATGTGGTCCCGAATTGATCGATGACACCCTAACCCTTTGAACCTGAAGGTAGGAAACCACAAAAGCACCCAAAGTACAAAACGCCAAGCAAACACCTAGCCAACCTCTGACCGAGAAGTCCTAAAGGGCTCCGGGAAACCCCAGACAAAGCGATCCTGACACATGTTGAGAACTCCCTACTGTAGGGGCCTTAATAATTAGAATAGGGCTCTGGGGCCCAGTATACGATAACTATAATAAGGAACCTCCAAAATAGTATAGGGAATTATTCAGGCCCCTATATTAGCCGCAAGCCTCGCTTCAGCTCGGCCCAGGCCCTGTCCGCCACATCACCCATGGCGGCCGCAGGCCATGGGCTCCAGGGATGTTGGGTTAATATCAAAGTGTGCTGTAAAGGCTTGTAGGATTGTCTTTCTGGGCTGTCGGGTTCTCTAAACCCCAAACTTCCAAACCCTGAAGCCCTAAACCCTAAACTCCAAAACCCAAAACCCTAAACTCCAAAACCCTAAACCCTAAACTTCCAAACCCTAAACCCTAAACCCTTGCAGTATCCCAGTGCTTTGGGGTCTTAAGGTGAGCGGTTTTAGGGAGGCTGCGGACACCTGGGGCCCGGGGCCGTCGAACCTTCGGGGCTTTAGGGGGGTTCAGAGGTGGGATAGGGCTTAGGGTTTAGGGTGTAGGAGGGTTTAGGGTGTAGGAGGGTTTAGGAAGGTTTAGGGTTGAGTGTTTTTGTTGGCTTAGGGTGGGATTTCGACTCAAAACTGAACTCTAAACCCTGGCTGTCGACAGAAAGCTACATTTTGCGCTTTCAAGCTGCGTGCCGGAACATGCCGCCATGCCCTGCGAAGCGTGTTTTTGGGTATGGGAGTTTCAGTGATGCGGACCGAAAATCAGGGAGCCAAACACAGATCCTTAAAGACAGATCTGTGACAATAAGGACCCCGAAACTATATAGGTCTCCTTCGTTGAAAGCACACCACAGCCAAGTAAGTTACGAGGCTCAGGATCTTCGAGGGCGCATGACAAAGACTTCATGGTGTTTTGGGGGCTCATGTTTTTCAGGTTTTAGGATCCCAGATTGACAGTTTGAGGTGTAGGGTTTAGGATGTAGGGTTATGGCTTCGAGCTGCTTCGAGTTCCGGCTGGGGGGGGTTAGAAGGTAGAGTTTAGGGTGGAGGCTGTGCGTCTAGGCTTGAGATCTGTTGTTAAAATGCTCTGTTTGCTTTGCCGCCGCAAGAAAAAAAGGCTTTCGGGGGAATCATGTTCAGGGTCCGGGGTGCGTGGGTCGCAGAGACTCCAAAACCCTTTGATTCAGCACGATACCTTACTACTTTCCATCATGTCCATGACCCCCGGTAAAACTCAGAAGTGGAGGTATACTGTAGGGGCCTTAATAATAATTATGAACGGCAACCCCCCATAAAAATATAGGCAAGTAGTTCGGCCCCTATGTAAAACTCCTCAATTCTGGGATTTTGGGGTCTCCGGACCCGGCTTGGAGCACTGCGCCTCCTCGGCCAGGATGTCCGCCAAGTCCCGAAACTGAGGCCAGGGGGCAACGTATGCAAAGCGTCTCACAGCCGACAGCCATGGAGTGCTGGGGTTTGGGGCTGAGGTTTAGGGTTTAGGGTTTAGGGTTTAGGGTTTAGGGTTTAGGGTTGGGGGGCCGAGGCTTTACCATGTGGGTAGTTGTCCAAATTTATCGTCTCTTTTGGGGTACCCTAAATAATAGGTGCCGTATTATAATAAGGACCCAAAAAGGGACCATAATTTTGACAACCACCCATGTAGCCTGCCAGTCTGTTCAAGCCACGGTTCAGGACATCCTGTCGCAGGAGGCTCAGGCTGCATCTGGCGGCCTGGTTGTTGCAGGGCATGCTGTTGCTGTACCTGACAGCCCTAACACGCAATCCAGGCAGCGACTGGTAAAAACTCCAAGCTGGATCTTTGTAATGGGAACACCCCGATTGCCACGGACGCTCCGCACTCTCGACTGGGCGCACGGGGCTGCGATGGTGATCACGGGCTTGACGAAGTCATCGTCCTCAAACCGGGCAGCAACTTCTAGCCGTCGGGCGGGGCTCTTAGCTGAAGGGCTCCGCAAAATCAAACGCCGAAGACCCAAAGACGACACAGGGCCTCTGACACCTTGATGCGGTCCCTGACCTTCGGGTACTAAACCCTAAACCCTAAANNTAAACCCTAAACCCCCCCCCCCCCGTATGTAGTACCTGAGAACTTCCCTGACTCGGAACCTCGAGCCCATTCAATCGGAAGCCCCACACGCCTGGATCCGTCCGAGCTCATCGCCCCAAGAGCTAAAACCCAGAAGCACAGTATAAGTTCAGGCATGTTCCTTCCGTTTTGAGGGGGGGTAAGTTGAGGAACGTTCCTTAAATCATGCCGTCGGCTCGACGTCATGGCTCATCCCTTCGGGACCTTGTAGGGCTACCCCACAACGACCCTTAAAGAATGAAAGAGGAGTTCATTCATGGCTTATGGCTTATGGCTTTGTATACATAGGACATAGGATTTTGTATCATGGCTGTTGCGCAAGGGTTCTTATCAAGGTGTCAGAATGGTTTGTTTGGGGTCTGCCGAATAGTATAGCGGATTCACTATTCATGCTCATACAGGACAGAAAGCCAGAACCGCGTCCCAAGCCGTGCACCGATGAGGCTTCACGAGATCAAAACAAGCCCTATAAACCCCGAACAGCGAGCCCAGCAACCCTGAGTCCACTAAACATACCCAAAAAGGTTTAGGGTTTAGGGTTTAGGGTTTAGGGTTTAGGGTTTAGGGAAGATCCCAAACCCTATACCCGAAACCCTCAACCTATACGCCCCTTCTGTGAGCCTTCCACCCGGCAGCGCGAAAGTTCGCGCGCGAGCAGGTCATCTTCACGAAGGAGTTTGGGGCACCTGATGGTCGCGGATCTGGAGTGCAAGCTTCCGGGTTGAGGGATTTGGGGCTGGAGCTTGAGGGTGTTGGGGTTTGGGAGGTGGAGGGTTTGGGCTGTAGGCTTCAGGGCTAAGCCGTAGGGTCGAAGGGCTTAGCATTTCCAATGTATGCCCAGAGCCAAAGAACCCTTTCAAAACTAACCCCTACCCTGGAGAGAAAAATTGCCTGAAACCGCTTTCGGGGTGGAGCGACTGCCAGTAACAATCGGAGTAAGCTGAAGTTAAACGAGGCTGGCGCGGGCGGGAAAATGCAGAGAAGGGTGCACCGCACCGCAAGTCGGTGCGCGCCGCAACTTTGTTCCCACGTGCATAGCATCCGCTACCAAACAACTCACGAAACTCAGCGCTGCGCGACCACGACAACAAGCAGCTTGTTCGTTCAGTTCCGCGCTGCCCGATCACTCCGGAAAACTCGACGGACTCGATGCAACTAGTTTACACCCCACCTTTTCCCATTTGTGCCCAAGACGGACAGCCGTACCTCGTCAACTACCCGTCCCACGGCACGACAATCAGCAAAGGAAGCAAATGATCTGTAAGACCGACCCCCGGCTCTAAAGCCTACTTATAGGGCCTATAGGGATCTATATGAGGCCGTGTGATGGCCAAGGCTAGAACATTCAATCGAGCCACGGGCCTTCCAAGCAATTAGAGTTTTGGGGTGTTGAGTTGAAGGTCTGCGGCCCTGATGTTCCTGTCATGGGGTTTAGGGTTTAGGGT